ATCCATCCTACTTAACAGTCTGTTCCTATCTATAATAGTCTGTGATGGTGCTGACAGATGGGGAACCCCCTTTCTCAACTAAGGGGGCTACTAAGAGCAGAAAAGAAGTTGCAAGAGAACCTATAAAAGTGACACTTAACCGTCTCAAAACCCAGTTTTTTGCTGTGCTCCTTACCACTGTTCCAGGGAAAATTTCCAGGTAACCCAGAATTTTATACATGCTATGTATTGGATGCAAAATCTGTTTATTTGTAAATTTATCTAATTTGCTAATTCATGCATACTTCAAGGAGTTGTTATTAAAGAGGAAAAGTCCTTTTCAAGTATATGACAATATGACGTAACTAAAGATATTGCAATAGGCTAAAATACCTTTATTAAACAAATGCAACATTATGACAATATTCTTTGCCCCCCAATTTTTTTAAAAAAACACACCAGATACTCCAATGACTGCACAAACTGGCTTTGTTACCTCTCCAAATGTAGTGATTATTTTAGACAAAAGCCTACTCTAAGTGGAATTGCACAGATATAGACAGGTCTGATCCTTTTTCCTTCATTTGCTGTATGCGTCAAGGTTCAGATTCTTCTATCTGCAGGTGCCTCAAAATACAAAGCAAAGCAGCTTAGGAGCACAGTCCATGCCAGTAGGTTCAACAGAGAGAAAGATCAGTAATGTAGCCGTGGCACGAATAAGGTTGCCTTAGTGATGGTCCTGCCAAGGACCAAATCGCCACAATTTCAGTTCTTACTGTGTACAGTCCTTTCCTCCAGTTACTTTAGACAATGTGGCGATTATACAAATATGGTGGGTAGAGGCCATCATAGTGGTATTCGCGCCACTGCTCAATTTGTTCTCGGCTTCTCTCATCTTGCTCTGTAAGGAGGAGGAGGAAAGGGGAGATAGTTTTTAGAAACACTGCACCCCTTTAATTACAGGGACTAGTCCACTGTCAAGGGTAGAAACAGAATGGAAAATATGGACAAGGAATGGATTTTGAAAGATTTGGGGGTAATGCCAAGCTTGGAGTAACACCAATAGGACCAGGTGTGGTATATTGGGCACTTGATCAAGAATTTAAACCAAAGGCTAAGCCTAAAATGGGATCAAGTCTGAGCCTACATTCATAGCTGATACCAACATAAATCATTGTAGCAGACTACAGACCTATACCCATATAAAGATAACTTCCTAGACTGTTCCATCTGAACACAGTTCTGATTCCATTATAAAAATGCCCATCTGAACATTTCTGTTCTGCAGATTTTGTGGAATGAAAGAACTGTGGAAGCTCTCCTGATGTCTGCAGAGACTGCATGAATGGGCAGCTGCTGCTCTTACCCACTGGAGGTAGGAGCCTTCAAATGAGCAAAGTCATCATGGCAGAGCTTTCTCAGTACCTAACCAGCAACAATTCTCCTTTCTGGAGCTCAAAGAAACCCCTAAAACTGCCTAACTACTTTTTTTTTTAATGGAGGTAACAGGTGAGGACCCGAACTGATTCTGACTGGGTGAGAAGAGTATACTGGTGCCAGAGGCTAGTGAAGTTTTACCTCCATTCCACACATGTATATGGAAAATGCAGAACAACTGGGAATATCTTTGCCATGTTTTAGCTCTGAGTACTTTAGCTACAGGAAGAGATGTGCAGTAAAATTCTGAGGCAGCTGGCATAACTAATGCTCACCTTTCATTGGAATGCGGGCTTAACTTGCTTCCTCAGATGCTCCTATTGTCTTTTTAGCCACTATAACAACATCCTGTAAGTTCTGTATCTCAGGAGAAAACCAGCTCATCATATACAATTTCCCCTTCCACCCACCTCACTCCTGTAGCAGCCTACTGGTCATCTCTACACTAGAGTATAGCTGACAGATCAGTCTGAATTGTCCCCAGTGGCATATTACTGCTATCTCTCATATATAATTGCCGAATGGTGGTGACTAGATTGCATGCGCTCCCTCAGCCATTGGCCCGTTGGCTGCCAGTCAAGACTACTGGCGTGCCATTGGCCCGTTGGCTGCCAGTCAAGACTACTGGCATGCCATTGGCCAGGTGTGCTCCTCATCCCCGCCCACTCCCCTTTTAACCACTGTGCTCTGTGTCAGAAGTACTCTGTCTCCCAATGAATACAGTTCTTTTGCTTAGCTCCTGTCTGGGACAAAGGTTTCCCTCAGTGGCTGTTGTGAGGAACTCATAGGGCTGCCAGCTCCAGCTAAGGAAGCCAGTTTAAGGAAGCCAGAGTTTGGGGAGGGGAGAGGGGAGGCCTCAGCTGAATAGAATGCCATAGAGGCCACTGTCCAAATCATTCTAACTTCTCCCTCAGTGGCTGTTGGTAGGCAACTAAGCTTGGTTCTGCCGGTAAATAGACAAAGGAACAAAACCCTTTCTACGCCTCTGTGAGGAACTCATTGGGCCCAGTCCTGAGTATGGTTGCCAGCTCCAGGTTTGGAAATTCCTGTTGAGTCCTTCTGCCCCCCCCCAAATGCTGCCCTCCACAGGACCCACCCCCCAAATCTCCCGGTATTTCCCTACTACGAGCTGGGAAGCCTACTTTCCCCTCAGTGCCTGCTGCTGGTCAACCAAGCTTGGTTTCTGTCAGTAAAAGGTCCTTTCCACACCTATTTTGGCCTTGGGAGAAAACTCATTGTGTCCTTCTACCCTGCTGACAGGCCGCTCCCCCCATGACAGCCAAGGCTTCAAAGCACAGTAGAGGCTGCAGGTGGGGGAGAGATGGAAAGCTGAACAGTGAGGGGGAAATGAAGGTACATTGATGCTTGGCTGGGAAGGAGATAGGGTTGCCAACTCCAGGTGGAAAATTCCTGGAGATTTGAGGGATGGAGCCTGGAAAAAGTGAGGTTTGAGGAGGGATGGGACCTCAGACAGGTACAGTGCCATAGACTGCCCTCCAAACCAGCCATTCCCTCATGGGGAGCCACTGTTGCCAAAATCCAGCTGAGGGTTGGAGATCACTCAGAATTCCAACTGGTCTCCAGATGGCATTGTCAGTTCCCCTGGAGAAAATGGTGGACTCTGTGTCCTTATACCCTGCTGAGTTGGCCCCCCTATGACAGCCAAGGTTATGTGGCAGTCAGGGCTTCAGAGCACGGTGGGGGCTGCTTGTGGGGGTGAGATGGACAGCTGATCAGTGAGGGGGAAATGAAGGTAGGTTGATGCTTGGCTGGGAAAGAGATAGGGTTGCCAACTCCAGGTGGGAAATTCCTGGAGATTTGAGAGATGAAGCCTGGAGAGGGTGAGGTTTGAGGAGTAGGGCCTCAGGCAGGTACAATGCTCAGACAGGTACTCTGCCCTCCAAACCAGCCATTCCATAATGGGGAACCATTGCTGCCAATCTCCGGGTGAGGGCTGGAGATCACTCAGAATTACAAATGGTCTCCAGATGGCATTGATCCATTCCCCTGGAGAAAATGGTGGACTCTGTGTCCTTATACCCTGCTGAGATGCCCCCCCCCCCAGGACAGCCAATGTGACATGGCAGTCAGAGCTTCAGAGCACGGTAGAGGCTGCAGGTGGGGAGGGAGTTAAAAAACTGAAGAATGAGGGGGAAATGAAGGTAGGTTGATGCTTGGCTGGGAAGTAGATAGGGTTGCCAGCTCCAGATGGGAAAATCCTGGAGATTTGAGAGATGAAGCCTGGAGAGGGTGAGGTTTGAGGAGGAGTGGGGCCTCAGACAAGTACAATGCCATAGACTTTGCCCTCCAAACCAGTCATTCCCTCATGGGGAACAACTGTTGCCAATCTCCAGGTGGGAGCTGGATATCACTCAGAATTACAACTGTTCTCCAGATGGCATTGATCTGTTCCCCTGGAAAAAATGGTGGACTCTGTGTCCAGTTTGGTGTGGTGGTTAAGTGTGCGGACTCTAATCTGGGAGAACCGGGTTTGATTCCCCACTCCACTTGCACCTGTTGATGTGACCTTGGGTCAGTCACAAGCTCTGGCACAGCTGTCCTTGAAAAAGAGCAGTTTGTGTCAGAGTTCTCTCAGCCCCACCCACCTCACAGGGTGTCTGTTGTGGGGAGGGGAAGGGAAAGGAGTTTGTAAGCCGCTCTGAGACTCCAAGTGAAGGACGGGGTATAAATCCAATCTCTTCTTCTCTCTTCTTATACCCTGCTGAGGTTGCCATGGCAAAATGATGCTGAGTGCCCACAGCCTTGGCACTCTCCCAGAGCCTATTTATTTATTTGGCTTATATCCCGCCCTTCCACATGGGCTCAGGGCGGCTAACAAGAGGCAATTGCCATACAAGCTCATTGTATTTATTTCCACAATAGGCCTTATTCCTAGTTGTATATATTGCCAACACAAGGGATGTGGTGTGCATTGCCTCCCGCCACACAGCAGATGAAGGTAAGCTCACTTGGTGCTGCTCTGCATGTTTTTCTGTAAGAGTAGGGACCTTGTACCCAGCTGTGTTCCTGCCAGAGTCTCTGTAGCTTTAGAAATATTGGGAGGGGGGGTTATACCTCCCCCACCCAAAAAAAAACAACCCTTGACTAGAGTGTCCTCTGAAGAAGAAAATTAGCTGGGCTAATGTTCACTTTTAGTGACATGACTGACAAACATAGTCCACCTCAATATCAATATACTCTCTAGGCAGTGGTGAGACCTCTATAGAGCTTTTACTCCTTCATTAATGTTAGCTGTCTGGTTGTGGTGGGGAATGATGTGGTTATCCTGTTGAAATCAGATAGGAATAAAATATGTATAAGAAGAAGCACTTTTGCTTGTGATCAAGAGACACAAATGAATACAGAAGGCAGCTACTCATACCAATTCGTTACCATCTTTTTTGGGAATGAATCCAAAGACATTCCATGACTACATTTCCTGAGGAACAGGCAAGGGTCCAAACATTAGTCATTCCACACATAGACACGTGTTTCACAAGCAGCAGCCCTGACATATGGTAGGGATGCAAACAGTGCTGGATTTGCTCTTTCCAGTGGCCTTGTCCTGCAGGGTTTGGAGATGGCCCTTGTTTCCATTGCAAGCCTTCTCATGGTCCAAATGGCCTCTTGTAAACTTTCATCTAATTCTACAGCCTCAAAAGTTAAATAAGACAACTAGCACAATTACTTTTAAAACTTGCTATCAAGGAGTGAAGATCCCTGCAAGTGCAACATATGACAATCTTGCCTTTTGAAAGTAGTAGAAGGTGGGGTTGAGTATTTGCTTTAGTGGGAAAGTTAAGGCTGAATCAAAGCCTCCACAATTGCCTGCTCAACAAAATGGCTACTGCCCGTCACAGAGTATCAAAGTACTTGGCAAGGATTTCAATTGCTGGCTGTACACAGCTGAGTATGGAGTCTTAATAACTCCTGAGCAGCAAGTGTAGTATCTTGGCTACAGTAATTTCCACTTTTAGAGTATGTTTCAAATGGTATTTGCTTCTCTCTTGCACCGGTCTTTGAAGGTGGTTGTTTTAAATCAGTACAGAATTGTGTTCTTTTGAATTGTCTCAACTAAGTCAGAACAATTGGAAACCTTAGACAAGAAGGAACTTGTGTGTCCTAGCAATATCAAGTGACTCGTGAGTTGAGAGACATGAAATGGAGACTCTACAGGGGTACCTGAGAGCAAAGAAAGATTCCTTTCTTGCAGTTGCTTAGCGTTGCACAACAGCCAGTCTTTCTACCCAAAGTAGGATTTAAACCATGAGGCAATTCTTTTTTTCCCCTCTTTTTTTTAAAGAGAGCTGGCACCACCTAAACTTGTACTTTCCACATTCTCCTAGCTGCTAAGATATTGGGCCACAGAGTTTGCAGTGATCAGAGGCATGCATGCTTGGAGAGCATCCCAAGTCTTGTACCATGTAACAAGTGTCTGCTTTTGTGCCATCCTTTCTGATCTTATGTTCTTACCATCACGTTCCTCCTCAACAAAGTTCTCAAACTCATTCCTCTGCTCCTCATAGTATTCCCTCCTTTGTTCGTCAGCAGCCAACATCTGGCGGGTCTCCACTGCATTAAAAAAATTAAGCACAGTGTTGGGGTGGGGAAGGGTATGAAAAGGAAGTGAAGGTCAATATAAACCTTTTTGCAGCCTCAAATCTTACTTGAGCCTTTCAGTAGAATCTCTTGTGGCTTTGCTGTAGGGGAGAGAGAGTACTCCAGCCCACATGCATGATAAAGCCTCACGGTATTTCAGAAAATAATGGCCAATGTTACCAAATGATTGGGTTCACTCCAGCAATTTGAAACCCAAGACAGCTGGAGTCTTGCAGACAATACCTGGAGTAGTGAGAGTAATGTGAATCTGGAATATTAAACCAAAACAAAACCCCATCCAAAGTAGTCCAGTTTTGAAGTGAGCCTTCTCATTTTGCTTTCTCTTGGCTTGAAATGCCTCACTTGCTTCAGTGCAGGACCTATAATTGCTCAGATAATAGAGCAAAATATGAACATAGTCCTTCTGAATGCTTTTCAACTGAAATGGCAAATGGGTTCCTTGACTACACTCCAAGCAAAAACTCACTGAAGTCACAGCCTAGGAACTCAAATCACAGAAGGAACTTTGTCCATCTTTTCTGGAAGTCTGCTCCAAGGGGTAGGTACCGCCACCCAAAAACTGAAGGGTATTTTAGAGGCCAGACGTGTCTCATAAAAAGTAAATAACTATCAAAGGAGACAGTGGGATGATCTCAGATGACAAACAGGTCTAGTTAGGGAAATAGTAAGGCAGTCCTAGAATATGTTGGAAGTGAAGGCGCTATCCCTTGCCTCAGCCTCAAGACTTCATGGCAAGAGAGACAGATAACTAGTCATGCTGACCTTTTGTTCCTATGTTTACTCTCCTGTCACTATCCCTTTGACATGTAGAATGGAGATCTCAGAGAACAATGTCCTTCCACTCATTCTCTTCCTCCCCCCTGGACTTCTTCCTCCTGCGCACACCAAGAGGGAGGGCATGCTGTCCCCATCTTGCCATCGTGACCCAGATGGCCTCTCACCATCTGAGTCCATGCTTAGTTAGCTAGACTAGAATACTATCCTTTCTCTCCTCTTTCCTATCCAGATTGTAGTTCTAGAATAAAGAGACTAGTATCAGTCTGTTAAACTGAAAATGTGCCTCTGTATACCTTTGTGGCACTCTAAGCTTTGTTACCCTGATTGGACGCACTCCTGCACTAGAAGTGTATGCATTCTGCTAAATGGTCAGTGGTTACTAGACTAACTATACAAGCTAACCCAACAGGTTATGGGCCCAGCTAAACTAAGGGTAACCAGCTAAACTAGTACTGGTTTCTAGCAAGCTGGTGCTGCAATACCTAAAGTTGAATCTGCCTTTAGAGAGAGAGAGTGAGAGACAGGGAAAAGAAAAACCATAGCTAAGACTTGGGAAGGAAATAATCGTCTAGTCTTCCTCATGCAACATAACTTTGCTGAATGGCACATGCATCTAAGGTTTGCTTTATGCTCACAATCACCGGAGGAACATCTGGAGAATGATATTCCCTCCACCAGCTCATCCCAAGATGAACAGAATAAATGGGAAGCAGACAACTGATATGTGCAAGGCATACTCATGAGTTCACTCTCAGTTAATTATTTGTCTAAGATTCAAGACTTTACAAAAATGAAACAGTTGTATGATACCCTGGTTAATGCAAACAAGCAGACAGGGTGGTCAGCAAGAATGATGCTAAGAGATAACCTGGACAGTTTAAAATTTACAGAGAATGACTATTTTCGATTGCATTCAAGCTCCATACAAGATATTTCAGTTTGCCGATACGGGTGAACCCATAGATGAAGTAGTGCAAACAGCTTCATTGTTTCATTCTCTCCCTTCAAGTTTCCTACATTTAATATCTTATTTGGAGATAAAAGGAAGTTTGAGCTTTGATTCTGTGGATCAGGAATGTTCTTGTAGAAAAGCATTGTCTAAAGATTTATAAGTGTTGCCAGATCAGTTTCTGAACAAAGTTGCTTTTAAACCACGGAGGCTCCAGGGCAAGAGCTCATTCTGGCAATGGCAGAGTTGGCATCAGGAGGCCCCAAGAGCCATTAAGAAAGGAATGCACACTGCAGGGTGCCAAGCCAGATTTCTCTACTTCAAAAAAAGAGCTCAGATTACCTGTTACCATTGTTTAGGGTGGGTCATCTCGCAGCTGATGTGACTGACATCAAGGAAGAGGCGAAAGCAGCAGGTCCTGAGGCAATTCTGACTGATGTGGCTGCCCAAGATGCTCCACCAGCTGTACCTAAACCATGGAGGCCAGAGATGCTCCATCAGATGTGCCTGAACCATAGGGGTAACCCAGGGAGACCCAGAGAGAGGTGAGATGATCAATGCACTCCAACAGAGGTATGCCACCCCGGAGAATGAATCTGCTTGCAGAGACTGTGGAAACATCATTTGCTGATATCTCCTGATTACCACCTCAAGAGGCACAGAAGTAGAAGCAAGCAGCAAGAGAGGAGCTGAATGCTCTACACAGGCTTCGTATATGGGCACTCACAGAGCTTCCCAAAGGAAAGAAAGCAGTCAGATGCAAATGGGTCTTCAAGCTGAAGCACAATGTAGATGGGGCGATCTAATGCTACAAAGCCATACGGGTGGCTAAAGGATATTCCCAAAAGTATGGAGAGGACTATGATCAGACTTTTGCACCTGTGGTAAAGCACACTATAAGAACTCTCCTTAGTGTCGCTGCAAGCAAGGGAATACAGGTTGACCATCTAGATGTGAAGACCACCTTCCTGTATGGAGATCTAGAAGAAAAAAATCTACATGAAGCAGCTGCCTGGTTTCATAGAGAAAAACAAGGAAGCTCTTGTGCAAGCTTCAAAAGAGATTATACGGCCTAAAACAGGCTGCAAGGGCATGGAACAGTAAACTGAACGACATGCAACTCCAGGCAAATTTCAAGAGAAGTGAATCTGATCCTGCCTCTACACCAAATGCAAAGATGGAACATTTTTACTTATGTGGATGACTTGTTGCCATCATGTGAAGATCCAGCTGACAGTAAAGAAATGATAGGTCACCTAAGTAAAGACATTGGACTTAAGCAACTTGGCAAAATGGTACACTACCTAGGCATACAGATAAAGAGAGAACCAGATGGCAGTTTTGTCATCTGTCAAGATTAAAGACCTAGTAAAGAGCCTGAAACTGGAATTACCTAAGTACTTTCCAGTGGAGCCAAACTACATCAAACAGAAGGACTCTGCAGAGCTACCTGAAGGCAACCGATATAATGAAGTGATAGGTAAGTTCTTGTACATAGCCACTTTAACCAGACCAAACTCAGCTGTGGGACTGTTACATAGAAAGACTGCAAAGTCCACAAGCAGAGACTGGAAAGCTCTTGTGACCCTTGTGAGGTACCTAATGAATACTGCAGATCTTAAATTGTTTGCTAATGACAGCCCTAAACTAGTTACTTATATGGATGTGGACTGAGCTGGAGACTTACTAGTGGCAATATAGCTTCCTTTGGAGAAGGATCTATAAGCTGGTCAAGCAAGAAGCAAAATGTAGTTGCAAACTCCACTATTGAAGCAAAATATGTGTCAGCAGCACAAGGCTGTCAAGAGATGTGATGGCTACTTCAACTACTGAAGGACAGGGCCTAGATGTACCTGTGGTAGTGTATGTGGGCAACAAAAGTTGCATTCATGTTTCTCAGAAAGAAGATGTGAGTCCACATTCCAAGCACATTGATGTGAAATATCACCTGGTGAGAAATCTGCAGAAAGACGGAGTTGTCAAGATGATTCACTACTCAAGGAAGCAGATTATTGCAGATGTGCTTGTGACAAACTGACCTCCAAAAGCAGGATGCTTAGTGCATCAAATTCAGAGAGCTGGGAGATTTGGGGTTAATGCCTCACTGTAAAGCACAGTTTGATTGACAGACTGCTGCCTGCGTGCACCCCCTTCTCTCTGATTGGTCAGCGCCAGCTGAGGAGAGCTTTCAAACGTCTGTCAATCTGGTCAGAGGGAGTCAGTCATTGTTTGGACTTTGGCTTGGCACTTGCCAGTCAAGAGGTGTGTGTGTGTTGGTCTGAGGGAGATAAGTCACTAGAAGCATTCCAAGGTCCAAAGAGGGAATTTTTCAAATTAAGTGTAGATAAAACACTCCTAGCATACCATAACCTGCTTTTGTTGCTTAGTGTATCAGGTTGGGGATTTCAGACCAGCGTAAGAGTTTGGGTTGTGTTCACATTTATGGAGGAGAGATGCAAAGGCAAGGCATATGGCAGAAGAAAAGCATGTTTCACTTTCAGAAGCACCCACTTTTTTTTTGGGGGGGGTGTCTGTCTTAGATTTTTGAAACATTTCTGTGGCCACCCTTTGAACAGATCAATCATACCAAGATGTTTAAGAGCTGGTTGTGGAATTGTAATAGATAGATCAGGGGTGGAAAATAGTAAAAGTCAGTTTTTTCATCTTGGTCAGTAATTTGTCAGTTTTTTAAAAAATTGGTCAGTAAAGTCAGTATTTCTTTGATTTTTGTGAATGCAGTTTGTATTTTCCCATTTTCATTACTGCATTTTTGGGGAAACATGATGACTTCCCAGTGAGAAGACAGATCGTTTTCAGTTTAGTTATGAAGTACTTTAAGGACTTTGTTCCTAAGAGTAAAAGTGATTTGGTGAAATATTCCACAAAGTATAGAAACATAATTAACCTCTTAAAACATGAGACAATGAAAGTAGAGGTAATGGATATTGTGGGATTCGACATGGCACAGCTCATACTAGAAGGAGTTGAGAAAGCAATGGAAGAAGACAACAAGGGAAAGAAATGCTTTGGATGCAATGCAGAAAACTGTTGAGAAACGAAAGAGTTCGTGAATAACTTTATTTATTTATTCAATTTATACCCCGTCCTCCCCACCGGAGCGGGCTCAGGGCAGTTTACAAAGAGATTAAACATATAGGTAAAGAATTATATACAATCTTAAAATAAATAATAAAACTCTACATTATCATAAAGTGCTAGTAAGTGATCAGGTACTTATAACAATGCTTACAGAAGGTGGAACCAATACTAGTGTAATCAGATGATCTATATTGGTGGTTGGTTTGTCTTGGTCTCTATATTTAGGCAACAGCACAGGCTGTTGGTGGTAAGACCCAAGGACGAGGGCATTGTCACTTCTCAGTTATTTGATGTTATTTGGTGCAGCTCCTTAGTCGAAGTCCTGGTGGAAGAGCTCCATCTTGCAGACCCTGCGGAACTGTAAAAGGTCCCGAGGGCCCTGATCTCTTCTGGGAGCTTATTTCACTAGTACAGAGCCACCACTGAGAAGGCCCTGGCCCTGGTTGTGGCCAGCCTGGCATCTCTAGGACTTGGGAGGCCAATCGATTTTGTGACTCTGAGCACAGTGCTCTCTGGGGAACATGTGGGGAAAGGCGTTCCCTCAGGTATGTGGGCCCCTGACCATAAAGGTCTTTACAGGTAAGTACCAGCACCTTGAAGTGAATTCAGTATGCTATCAGCAGCCAGTGCAGTGCATTCAGCATAGGCTGGATGTGCTCCTGCATAGGGAAGCCCATCAGAAGCCTGGCTGCAGCATTTTGTACTAGCTGTAGCTTCTGGATTTGAGTCAAGGGCAACCCCATGTAGAGAGCATTACAGTAGTCCAATCTCAAGGTGACCATCACATGGATCACTGTCGCCAAGCCATTGCATTCAAGGAAGGGAACCAACTGTAATCAGCCGGAGGTGGTAAAAGGCTGATTTGGCAGTGGCTGCTACCTGGGCCTCCATTGTTAGAGAGGCATCCAGGAACACTCCAAAGCTCCTAACCTCTGGCGCGGGCACCAACTGCACCCCATCGAAGGTCGGAAGTAGGATCCCTACCCTCGGCCCGCCCCAGCTCAGGCACAGGACCTCCATCTTGGTCGGGTTCAATTTCAGTTGGCTCATTCTGAGCCAACCAGCCACAGCTTGCAAAACCCAGTCCAGATCTTCCAGTGTAGAGTCAGACTGGCCGCCCAACAACAGATAGAGTTGGGTGCTGTCCTCATACTGGACCATGCCTCCGGGCACTCTGGGCAAGGGGGTATATGTAGATATTAAATAACATTGGGGACAGCACTGCCCCTTGGGGCACTCCACAAATCAGTGGGTGCCTTTGGGATAGCTGCTCCCCTAGCACCACCCTTTGTCCCCAACCCTGAAGGAAGGAAGCCAGCCATTGCAAGGCAGGCCCTTGGACTCCAGTGTTGGTGAGGTAATGGATCAGTAATTGATGGTCAACCATGTTGAACATCGCCAACAGGTCCAACAGCAACATCGCTGCCAATCCACCCCGATCCAGATGCCTCCGGAGGTCATCCGTGAGGTTGACCAGTGCCATCTCCATCCTGTGGCCTTTGCAGAAATTGGACTGGAAAGGATCTAGAATAGATGTGTCATCCAAAAAGCTCTGTAGCTGAATTGCCACGTCCCTCTCAATTATTTTACCCAAATAGGGCAGATTGGAGACCAGTCAATAATTAGTCAATTCATCCAGATCCAGAGATGGCTTTTTCAGGAAGGGACAAACCACAGCTTCCTTGAGTGCCCTAGGGAACTGTCCCTCCAAGAGGGACTTGATAATCTCCCTTAGGGCATCCTGAAACCCATCACGGCCAGCTTTAATTAGCCATGATGGGCATAGGTCAAGGCAGCACATGGTAGGGTATACAGTTAAGAGCAGTTTGTCAACTTCTTCCAGGCTGAGCGGACTGAAATAATCCATAACCTGACTAGAAGACGAGCATGGAGCCTCGAGTTCACTTACTGTCTCAACGGAGCGACAGGACTTTATCTGCAAAATAGCTCTCAAAGGCCTCACAGCCAGTGTCCAATTCCCTAACATTTGGTCTGCCTTGTGGCAGAACAGTCATAGACCAAATTATTCTAAATAATTGGACTGGGCATGAGCTCGCAGATGCAATCGTAGCCACATAATACTCTCAGTGGCTTTGACTGCCATCTCATAGGATCTCATAAATGTCCTATAAGATGTTATTGTGGCTTTGTCGCAGGTGCACCACTACTGTCTCTCTAGCCAGCTTAGCCTTCACTTCATCAGCCGCAACTCCTGGGTAAACCAAGGAGCCAGACTAGAGTGAGGGCATCGGGGAGCGATCTCATCGATGGCTGCCGAGAGTCAGCTGTGCCAATCCTCCACAAGCTCATCTAACGAGCCGTCAGGGGGCATCGGATCCCTCGGGCAAACTGAAATCTGCTCGCCGCCACTGTGACCCCTGCCGCAAAGATCAAATCGAGCGTGTGTCCGGCCTGGTGAGTGGGAGTCATTACATATTGGGAGAGTCGCAGTGCCACCATGGATGACACTAGGTCCATCGCCTGAGTGGAACCACATCGTCCGCATGGACACTGAAATCACGCAGATCAATCGGTCTAGGGGGTTCCAGTGCCCAGCCCAACACGTCCTCCACCAGGGATGGCAGGCTGCTGGCCGGTTCTTTTTTCATCAAAAAACCAAAGATAAAGTAAAAGCAAAGACAAGTCTTACTTTACAGTAATTATGTTTTGTTGTCATAATTATTACTTTATGTTTGGTTTTTAATATGTTTTTGCTGTTTTATTATCTGCAGTATGTGATTATTTTTAAAAGGGAATCTTTTTTTGCCTTAAATTTTGTACAATAATAAAAACATTGTCCTCTATTCATTAAAAAAAATTCAATAAAAAGGTGTGCAATCCTTTTATCTGGGTCACATCTAACTATGGGGATGGCTATGGGGATGGTGGAGGTCAGATAATTTTTAATGAAGTCCTAGTTTTACATTTAAAACGCTAGCTTATCAGTAGGGTGACATTAAATTGTTCAGTAATTTGTCAGGTTTGGGTCAGTGTTTGGTCAGTTTTTTGGGAATTTTGGTCAGTAAAATCAGTATTTTTGACCCCCTGACTAGTTTCCACCCCTGATAAATGAACCACATATTTTAGAAGGTGCTGCATTTCTAAGGGTGGTATGGAGGTTTCCAGGGTGCAATGCTGGTGGGGTTCCCCACCTATTTAATTGCCTGGGTTTATGCTGGATATTCTGAAGCATTGCTTAATGTATATGCCTTTGTGTGTGAGATTTTGTATGCCAGGTTTGGGATTGAGGGAGACAGTTGGATGGTTGCCCCTCTTGCACGCTGCTTGCTTGAGATAAGACAGGTGGGCAAGCAAAATCTTCCCTGGCCGAGGGGAGCCCTAGTTGTATTTATTCCCACATAGAAACTCTAGGGTAAGAGGCTATTTGCACAGCGTAAAATATCTAAATACATACTGACTGTAAACAGTTCTGCAAACTTCGGGAACCCCCCTCCCTCCAAAATAAAAAAGCATTGTCTGCAGACAATAGACTTACCTTCCTTCTGGACAGCCAGTAGTGGTATGAGTCCAGGAGCCAGTCTGGGCCCAGACAGGCTCCCAGACATCACTGGGCTCAGAGGTGGCAGTGGAGACATGGAGCCATGCCGAGTTTGGCATTGGGTGATGGGATTCCCCCCCACCCCCACGTGAGACTCACGGGGCTCCACTTGTCCTTTATAACAGACGTAAGGAGGTGGGGGGGGGGTTGCATTCAGCAAACATTTTGTGCATGTAGATTAGTTTTCCTCCCCATCTGTAGGAACCATTGCAAGGGCTTTGATGGAATCAGGTGCATATTTCTCTGAATGCTGTTTTAATGTAGTTCTGCCAATAAGGTTTGAAAATGATCATTTGCAAAATAATCCTAAGCAGATCTATTAGTCAGACTTATCCCCAGGTAAGTTTCCCTAGGACGGCACTATCCGTTCGGTGCCTAAAGTTGCCGCACGTTTCGCTTCCTTCATCAGCAAACTAACAAAGGTAGCTTAGAGCAGAAGTCTCTATATTGTAAGCGGTTATATTAGCTTCACCATCCTGCCCTGCACCTCCCACGACAACCTCCCAAGCACTCTGTATACCATCGAGGGGTTTAACCAATTGAGACACTGCTTCTGCTTTCAAAAACCAGTTGGCAGATAATGCTAGTTCCATTTCACAAGGACCGTCTTAGGTCATTTAGAAACGTTCCACGTAAACATGCATATTGAAATTTTAAAAAACTTATTTGCTCAAAGAACTGCATAAATACTGTTTTTGTAACCTTTCTACTATATATTTTTTCCTTCATCAGGCTTTCATAATTATAAATTGAAGCCATGCCATTCATTCAATACTGGCCCTAGAAAAATAAACAATGTTCACTCTACTGTGTTTCGATTCATTCATTCATGTATTCCTTAAAATCAAAGAAGAAAATTGAGGAGGGTGTCCTAATCCAAAACTATTGACTCTGGTGAGTTAATAACGCTTTCTAGAGTGTGGCGGAAAATTTAAGAGAGTGCCAGAGATGAAAGGAGCACTTAAATGAATCCCAGCATTCCATAAAGAGCCTCCAAACAGTCTCACCGTTGAGCTCATCCCTGGATTTCGTCGCTCTTTTGCCTCTCTTCTTGAAAAAGTTAGAGGCATCTGATTCCTTCATGAAGACTCTTTTTTTCAGACCTGGAAGCAGGGAAACAAGTGTCTGATCGCTGGTGAGAAACGGAGGAGGAGACAGATAAAATTCTAAAAGGAATTGTATATGCCTCGTTCCTGTTTTCTCTTCCCCATTCCATAATTGATGATATTATGTCTGCCCACTTACTTTCCTTGCTTGATTCGCCAGCGGCTGCTTTCTGGGAACCCACGGCCACAGTATTGCCTCCCTCAAGGACTAGACAAAACAAAAGCATAGACCCAGTTCTGAATTCCGTGAAAGAGAGACTCTCAGATAAGAATGTTAACTTGCTTCTTGTTAACTTGCTTCTTAAAGACACACACACACACCTGCCAACTTTGCATTCCAACCTGTCTAATGTACTAATGCTTTTCAATGTGCCTCTAATAGCAGAGGGCAACAGCATATCTTCTTGTTAAGAGGAGTTCTATATTTCTGTTTCCTAAAAGAATCTGCAAAACAGCAGCTGCTGCTTAAGTTTAACCCATGTTTTGCATGTGATTTCAAGAGCATTACTGGTGACAAAAGTCAGGGATTAAATCCTTTAGCAGTTGATGGTTTGATTGGATCAGAAACCTGTCTAAGTCTCTCCCATCCCATTAAACTGGCAAATGTTGTCAGCTTTGCCCCACAGACATGGGATAGATTTTGCTGAACCTGAAAGCTTCTTCTGCAGTGTTATCACAAATTGCCGTACATACCAGTCAGGATCACGAAAGTCATGAGGCAGGAAAGAAAAAGCACTTGTTTCCAGTCCATCTTTGCTAGGTTCCCACAGACACAAAAATGAATGTCACGAAGAACTTTAGTGAGATACTTGCAAAAAAACAAAAAACCTGCCCTGTCTTCCTTCAAGGAAATGAAGCAGAAAGAGAAGGTTCTTCCCTTCAGGGGTGGGAAGGTGAGAGGAGGGGCCTTGAGTGGCACCGGAGTTGGCAGCTCCTTGCCCCATGTCCTAGATAGTTTGAAAGGCACATGGAAACATCAACATGGGCAGAACGCAGTGCATCATGTTCTTGACATTCTGAAGCAAAGGAGTGATGAACAGCTAAGCAATGTGGGGATACTTGGGAGATGAGTCTTGCTGCTGGTGAGGAAGCTGAGAATTTCCTGAAACCTCCATTACTGCTGTGAGGTAAAAGGATAGTGATATTTGCAACCTGGGTGTTCACCCTTAATTTTTGTCCTGGAGCAGCATTTGTCACTTGAATGGAATGGGAGAGACAATGTAGATGTCTGATCAGGTTAAGTTCTTCAGATTATCATTGCTAAAGATCACAGCAGAGGGCTGGGAACTTTTTTGGCCTAGTATTGGCATCGCTCCCCCATACCATCTACATTGGAAGATGCTGGTGTACTACAAATGGAGGGGGAGTAGATAAGGGCTGCACTTGGTCAGACTCACTGACAGGAAGGAGAGGCCCAGTTATCTGCCTTGGACCCAACTTGGGGCTGTCTCGGCTGCTTGGAAGAAGCACGGGCCCTGCATGTTAAACTGGTCTGATATGTCAGTGTTTAGCACATCTCCCAGGGAATGCCTACCCTTAGATCAGACCCAAGGACTATCTAATCCAGCAATCTGTTTCCACTGTAAGCTGATAAGAAACCTCTGGGAAGCTTGCAAATTTGGCATCTAGTGACAGGTATGGATTTTGAGCTGGGCTTCAAATGTGAAACAAAGAATGTTGTTCTGAACAGACCTGCCGATTTCTATTCGACTCTTAATCACATGCTCCAAACTTAATTCCGACACCATGTTTTTCAATGGTGTTATCATCTAACAACTAAACAGAATGCTAAAGCAAGTCATTTAAACTGTATTTTTCTTGATCAATGAATTAGTTTATATACACCAAAAAGGTCATTTTTGTTGTTGTTCACTCGCACAGTTGAGTCCAACTCTTCACAACCCCATGGACCAGATCCCGCCAGGCCTTCCTGTCTTCCGCCGTCCTCTGAAGTTTGCTCAATTTCATTTTCATTTCTGACTTTAGTTTCAGATGGCATTTTTAAAACAAATATTACATAATGACATTAATGGTTATAGATTGTGACTTTCTAAGAAGAAAATGTTATACTTGATTGGATTACAAATATGCCAAGAGTAATAAATGGCAATAAAATATTTAAAACTGTTAACAATGCTACTACCTATTTAAGATTGGGGGGTTGGTAATCTTTCCCACAAATTTCTGCTCTTCCTCTCCTACACCTACCTGATATTTCAATTTATTGTTGTTTGGCTTTTTGCAATAAAAATAGATCAAGACTATGACATCTTCAGTTGTATTAAGTTCTATTCTGTGCTTATCATGGCATTTCTTTTCTGAAAAACACCCATTTTAAACTAGAAAACATAGATTACATATTATCTCAAGCAGTGTTCCCTCTAAGCTGAGTCAGTGTGAGCTAGCTCACAGTTTTTTAGCCTCCGGCTCACATATTTTTGTCTTAGCTCAGGAAGGATGGCTGCAGAGCAAACTAGTTTATGCAGTAGCCAAATTGCTCGCTCACAACTCTAATGCCAGTACCTCACAAAGTAGAAGTTTTGCTCACAAGACTCCACAGCTTAGAGGGATCATTGATCTCAAGTACATAAAAGAAATAACTACCCCTTGAAGACACTCATAATCTAGCAAAGCAAAATTAATGGAACAAGGTCAACCACGAAAAATAGAGCTGGTGATCCTTCTTACTACTCTGATGAAGCAAAGTGTATGCTATTAGGATTCACATGAGTTAATTGTCAATCTCACTTAGGACTAGTCTTCTGCACCCCTCCTAGTTCATGAGCAAAATGAGCCTCACAGGAAATAATTATTGTTGCAATGGTACTGGTCACTGAGCTGTGGAATATCCCAGCAATAAAAGGGAGAAGAGTTACAAAAGCAACCCCCTGGCCGCCGCCAAAAGTGATTACAAATACCACAACTTTACAGCTTCTTTAGAAGAGGGAGCAGCCAATTTTATTTTGGACACAGGAGCTTCAGTGCATATATCCCACATTAAAGATTTTTTTCATTGAATTAAGAGACATTCCAAAGCAGTCTGTTTATTTGGGAAGTGATAAGAGAGTCACTGCTTACCAGGGCAGGTTTGGAATTTTGCATTGCAAATGGCCACAAGGTGGCACTTGTGAATTTCTTTTGAGAAATGTTCTATATATTTGAGATTTTTCAAGTAGCTTAATTTCAGTCTCTCAATTTGATCACGAAGGGTATGAATTATTTCTCAGAGATGGACATTGTACTGTCTTATGAAATTGAGAAGTTTATATTATGGGCACAGAATGCAAAGGACTTTATAACAGAAGCTTTTTTCTCAAGAGGTTCCCCAAAGACTTTCATGTTTGCAAGCACCAGGTCCCACCAGATGCAGGCAGGCATGGGAAAAAAGGCCAAAAGGCTCTCTGCATTCTGTGAAATGGCCAAGGCTCTGAGTTCGCCTCTGCCAGTTGCAGATGATGCAGGGAGGCAATTAGCAGTGTGGTTGGGCTTAATTCTGTCTTTTCTCTTTCACTGATTCATTTTTTGGGGGAAAGTAGAGGGTGTGGTGTTCCCCATCCCTTGCATGCACACTCGGCCAAATCACTGACAATTGGATGCCACCCCCACAGGTCACAAGTGATAATAACCACATTTAACCAAAAAATGTGGGTTTTGGCTGTAGATGCAGAATGCATGATCTGCATATTTTGCAATTCCTGGTGGGAAATCCGGAGGTGCAGAATTACAAGCACCGAATCGGGAGTATAAGCAAAACAGGATCAGCTACGGAGAAACGGCAGGGTAAATATGCATGCAGAAAGGTCCTAAGTCCCTTCCACCCTCTGAGGCAGAAAAGCATCTGCCACAGAGAAACACACACACAGAGAAGCCAGGTGTCCTATCAGAGCACCACAATGCCTGGGTCTCTGGAGCTGGCCGGCAGTAACTACCCCCTGCACTAGGGAGAGTGTTGACCCCATGCTGTTCTAAAGGACTTCCTTTTATGGGATGTCCAAACTAATGGTTCCCCACTCCTACATTGCATCACCTTGATCATGCTGAACACATGCATATCTGCATGTTGCAAGTGTTTGGGGAGGATAGAGCAGGGCAGACCCTTCTGGAGTTTTATCTAGACTTCTGGCACTGTATGTTCTTCTAGACCAGGGCTATGGAGGGTCTTGCTCTACTGTAACAAGCAAGTGACTTTCAAGCCTGATAAGCCAGTCTCCTGGCTATCTCTTGCTGACAAAATAAGTTACCCTTCTTCAGAGGCCTAGCCTTTCCAATTTCGGGGGGGGGGGGCTGGAGTTGGGCCAGAGGCGTTGCTTGCTAGGTCCTTAAAAGAACCTAACCCAGTGATTTCCTAAGGAGGAACCAGTAACATCACAGGCCATTGTCACTATATATGTAGGTGGAGCTATGTGGGATTTAGGAAGGGGCTCCCCAGAAATTTAGGGGGGCTTGGGACCCCCTAGCCATGCCTCTGAGCTGGGCTAAACCCAGGAAAGGGTAGGAGTTGGCCAATGGTTATAGTGGTATCTCAGCGGTCTCCTGCTGTGATCTTTTTTAAATTCACTTTTAGAATAGTGACTTTAAGATCTTCAAATATACATACCACGTGCATAAGACAAAAAATGGTCACAAATTTGACAGTAAGGAAGGCAACAGAGAAAAGCCTGTAGGGGAATATTTTAAAAGTTTTCCTGAACGTTCATTTACAGGAATCTTGTTTCTGACTTATTCATAAGGGTGACTTTGTACTGAATTTACTAAATTATGGCATCACAGATGCTTTCATTTGGAAAATGCATGGCTGAAGTCTCTGTGCACTCAATTTCTGAGCAATGTACAAAGTTCAGAGTAGCAGCAATCTGCTCACTTGAAACTGGGAGTTGTAGAAGTGTTCTCGGACTATCATTCCACTTTGAAGGCTGTCATTCCAATCTCAGAACTTCTCTGCTACTCCCAGGGACTGTCATTCCAGTCCCAGAGCATTGAGCCTATTCCCAGGGGCTGTCCTGTCATTCCACTCTGTGACCTGTCATTCCAGTCCCAGAGCATTGAGCCTATTCCCAGGGGCTGTCCTGTCATTCCACTCTGTGACCTGTCATTCCAGTCCCAGAGCATTGAGCCTATTCCCAGGGGCTGTCCTGTCATTCCACTCTGTGACCTGTCATTCCAGTCCCAGAGTAGCCTATCTGGGGTCAAAGACCTTAATGGAAAAACAATTCCACATTTTCTTTGCAACTTTTTTTGTGCTGCAAACTATTTCAGTGGAGCCCATTCAAGTCAATTGGCATTCCCGGCTCCCATTACATTCCTGGCTCCCATTATCTCCAATGGGCCTTCAAGCCTCACCCATTGTTTCCACGGGGCAATCTTGTCATTTCTTTTATACATCCTAGTTAGTTCCCCATTTGATATTGTACCACACCATTTTAAGACACAGCAAAATGAAGAGCATGAACATGTACAGAGTGCACATCCCTTGCCAATGTTCTCTCTGGACTGCACACAGGGCAAAAGGAAATGCTAAAAGGCCTCTGATCTGCATGTCCCCCACCCCTTGATCTTGTTCATGCAAATGGGTTTACCATTTTAAAATAAAATGGAAAGAGTTTAGGAGTGGTTGAAGCAGCCCCCACACACACACCATGAAAAAAACAACTGTTCTTAATCAAGGACCAATAGACCCAAGTAAAATAAAATAGAGACACACTTTTCCCCCAAATGTAAATTGGAGCCCAGCAAGTATGTTGGGCCCAACAGAGG